ATCGACATCCTGGTTGACAACACAGCTCAACACAAAGTATTTTCTTTCATGGACGGATTCTCAGGCTATAACCAGATCAAAATGGCACCTGAGGACATGGAGAAAACTACTTTTGTCACACAGTGGGGTACGTTCTACTATAAAGTGATGCCATTCGGACTGAAGAATGTCGGGGCAACCTATCAACGCGCCATGGTAGCTTTGTTTCATGATATGATACATCATGAGATAGAGGTCTACGTAGATGACATGATAGCCCGATCACAAACTGAAGAAGAACACCTTGATCACTTGCAAAAGCTGTTTGTCAGGTTGAAGGAGTACAAGCTCAGATTAAACCCAAACAATTGTACATTCGGAGTCCGGTCCGGCGAACTCTTAGGTTTCATTGTCAGCAACAAAGGCATCGAGGTTGATCCTGCCAAAGTTAAAGTTATACAAGAAATGCCTGCTCCTCTCACTGAGAAGGAAGTCAGAGGTTTTTTGGGACGCCTAAACTACATTGCTAGGTTCATTTCTCACCTAAGGTCTACTTGTGAACCAATCTTCAAGCTGTTGAAGAAAGATCAGGTAGTCAGATGGAATGACGAATGCCAAATTGCTTTCGATAAAATCAAGGAGTATTTGCTATAACCTCCTTTCTTGATGCCACCCGTCGAAGGAAGACCGCTAATCATGTATTTGACCGTCTTAGAGAATTCAATGGGGTGCGTACTGGGGCAGCATGACGAGTCTGGCCAAAAAGAGCATGCCATTTATTATCTTAGAAAAAATGTTACCGGCTGTGAAACCAGATATTCACTGCTTGAGAAAACTTATTGCGCTTTGGTATGGGCTGATCGCCGGCTAAGGCAGTACATGTTGACTCATACCACTTTGCTGATATCTAAGATGGATCCGATAAAGTACATCTTTGAGAAGCCTGCTTTGTCCGGAAGAATAGCTAGATGGCAGATGATCCTAACGGAATACGATATACACTACACGACCCAAAAAGCTATAAAGGGGAGTGTGCTAGCTGACCATCTGGCCCATCAAGCTGTAGAAGATTACCAATCCATGAAGTTCGACTTCCCTGACGAAGACATCATGACATTGGACAACGTTGAAGATTTCAGACCATATGACGGACCTAAACAAGGACCCCGATGGACTCTGTACTTTGATGGGGCCTCCAATGCACTTGGTAACGATATCAGTGATGTGCTTATATCTCCAGAAGGATGCCATACTCCTTTCACCGCCAGACTTTGCTTCAACTGTACGAACAACATGGCAGAGTACGAAGCATGCATCTTTGGACTCAAGGCTACCATAGACTTGGGAATCAAATCTTTGATTGTGTTTGGGGACTCAGCTTTGGTCATCAGTCAGATCAAATGAGAGTGGGACACTAAGCATCCAAACCTCATCCCTTACAAAGAACATGTCTTGACATTGTTACCACACTTCGAGCAGATTACCTTCGAGCACTTCCCGCGAGAAGAAAATCAGCTAGCAGATGCTCTAGCTACAATGTCATCCATGTTTAAACTTAATTGGGATAACGAGGCTCCCCAGATCACCATTGAACAAATTGACTAACCCGCACACTGTCACGAGATTAATACCGAGGAAGTAGTGAACCAGCCTTGGTTTCATGAAGTCAAAAGGTATCTCGAGGAGCAAGAATATCCGGAAGGAGCTTCAGTCAATGACAAAAAGTTCTTAAGGATATTATAAGCTAAGTTCTTTTTGAGCAATGGCATCCTGTACAAGCGCAATCATGATTTTATTCTGCTCCATTGTGTGACAAGATTGAAGCTGAAAAGATCATGGCTGAATTGCATGAAGGTACCTTTGGCACTCACTCTAGCGGGAATATGATGGCTAAGAAGATTCTACGGGCAGGCTATTACTGGTCTACCATGGAAGCTGACTGCTATCAACACTCCCGGACATGCCATAAGTGTCAAATCTATGCAGACAAGGTCCACGTGCCTCCAGTTCCTCCAAATGTCTTAACAGCTCCTTATCCCTTCGCTATGTGGGGAATCGACATGATTGGAGAGATCAACCCTACAACATCCAATGGACACCGCTTCATTCTGGTGGCCATTGACTATTTCACCAAGTGGGTCGAAGCAGCTTCCTTCGCATTTGTTACTAAGAATATTGTCGACCGCTTCATCAAACATAATCTTATTTGCCGGTACGGTATCCCCGAAAGGATCATCAATGATAACGGTACAAACCTTAACAATACTATTGTTGTACCCCAAAATTTTCCCTCTCATTTTATCAAGATTTCCCCTCACAAGACTCTTTGAACTCCAGACAGGATTAGGGTTTGCTCTGCTCAAGACATCTCCTTGCACTGATGACCTAAATTAGGGTTTGAGTTTGCACAGGGATTTTTGGACTTTCAATGCTCAAAGTGACTTTCATACTTCATGTTGGACTTATAAGATTGCCTCTACCAAGTTTCAAGCTTTGAATCAAATTTTTTGCCTAGTCAATTGGACAGTTGACCTAGAAATCAACTGTATTGGGGAAAAAAGTCAACTGTGACCAATTTACAGTCAAACCTCATAATTTTTTATCCACGTCAACATTATAGGCTCATATGAACCATTTTATCAAGTTTGGACCACAACTCCTCAAGAAATTTGATCAGATCATCAAAAGGGCAAAATGGTCATTTTTAGGGTTTTGACTGTATAAGGGCAATTTCTGATTTTTCACCTAGCCAATGGCAAATTGGGTTCAAGCATGGATTCAAGGACTCAATGGCATCATCTTGACCTATTCACAAGGTTCAAAAGATCTTAAATGCATTGGATTGACAGATGAATTTTTCAGCCAACTGATCAAAATTTGTATGTACACTGAAAGTCAAAATTTGACTTTTTGGTCAAAATCAAGTGCCAAGGGTCATTTTTCATCAAGATGTGTCAAAACATGAAACTTGTTCATCAAGAAACCTAATTTTGCAAATTAGGGTTTAAGATTGAAAATTTTCATAACTTAGAATTTTTCTAAGTTATGAAATTTTCTTATTTTTTCCCAACTTTGCCCAACATTTTCACCATGATGCAATTGGATTCAAACAAAACTTCCAACATGAAAGTTGTAGTCCTCCACAAAATATACAACTTTGGTCACAAAGTTTTCCCAAAAGAAGATTGTATCTCAAGTTATGATTTTTGGAACAAGGGTCCATGAAACTTTTAACTTAGTGAAATTTTGCCCTAGTTTAGGCAGGATTTTGACCTATCTTCATGACCATTTTTCACATAGTTCCACTTAGAATCTCAAAATTCATTTCAAATATGGATTGTAGAACATGTTACAAGCTTTCCAAAATGTCTAATAAATATGCATAATCATTTATGGTTATGTAGAATTGAAGATTTGAATTTGGCAAAAATTCACTTTAATCCATGGCATTTTCATGTTGACACAAGTTGCAAAATTTGTCCAAACTTGCTTTGTACTTGATTACAGGTCTCTAAACCCTTCCACACTCAAAAATTGAATGAAAACTCATTGGTTTAAGGTGTTATTCTGATCAATAGAGGTTGACACATTGAATTAATCTTAAAATGGCAAAAAGGTAGCATTTCCATTTTCATAAAGGCAACTTTATGTCAACTTGCTTCCCTTGAGCCTTGGACCTCTCTCTTTGCAGCAAACAAGTTCCATAAACTTAGACAAAAGTACAACAATCTTTTGCATGCTTGGAGATAGCCTGTACAAGCCTATCTTGTATCATTTCACACTTTTCTTTCAAAACAAGTCAACTTGCCAAAAGGACATATCTTGAGTATCTGTTATAACCAAACTTGGTGACCATTCCAAAAACGTTTTGCACATTGCTTTGAGTCAGAAACACGAGCCATTCATCCCTCAAACACTCTTGAACATCAAAATACCAAAAACTTGCAAAACAGGGCACTCTCTACAGTTTCACTTCCATCTCACAAACCACTCATGCGTTTTATCCCAAACCAGTTCCAATACCTTCCATATAACCCATCTGAACTATCCCAACCATTGGCCCTTGACTGTAACTCCATTTGCAAGCTTCACCATTTCTGATTTCAGCTTGTGCAGGTTGACTTCTACAGGCTCATTCAAGCAAGCTCAAGGCAAACAAAGCATTGGGAAAGGTCAGAGGAAGTTCAGGTAAGCT